GTCTTGTTTTTATGCAAAAAAAATCTTTCAGGTTTCATGGTGGCTGTATGTGTTGTACCAACCTTAAGTCTGTGATAGTAAGAGGATGTTGGATAATATTGTTCCAAAATCAGGTACCTATGTCTGTCTGTTTTTTATTCATATATGGTAACATGTTCGTAAATTGTATTGAATTGTTGTCAATAATTTGTTATGTAAGAATCATTTTGAAAACTTTTGTCAACCAAGTTGATTGTTATATTTGTTTAAATGAATTAAATATTTGCATGATGTGCATAATTTTCTGACCTATCGGTCTCTTCCAATACCAAGTATTCTTTAGAAATGCAACAACCTTCCAAAGAGGTCACTTGCCATACAAGCCTCGGAGTTGATGCATTCTTGTTCATGCACCGATGTCTCCTTAAGCCCATATGAAAAAGAAGTTATATGGTCATCAAGCATGTCTGCTATTTGCAAGAGCCATTGTCGTTCAATACCGTAAGCATGTTATTTTGCTGATGTAAAAACTGTTTATAAAAACTGTTTATTTTTTCATGTAAACCATTGGTAAAATGCTTATAAACTACAATTATTTTGTTATTGAGTTTGGACATGTTCAACAGTTGGTAATTTTAAAAGGTAAAAAGAAAACGCTCTGTTAACTAAGAAGTCTTTATTTGTAGTTATTAGTAGTTTTAGAGTAAAAAGTTGTAGCAAAATAATTTTGTATTTAGCAAAAAGTATTACACTGCATAGGCAAATTGTCATTACAGCATCTTCATAAAAACAATGGCAGTCTATTGACTGCGTTATTTGTGCTTTACTTAATTTTCAGAGTTTGACACTATCCCTAATAAGTATTTGAATGATGTCCTGAAGATGTTATTTCCCGATCAGATCGAAGAAACAAGGATTTTTGAATTTCTAGTAATAGGATAGGTAACATCATATATACTGTTGGGAGGATTGTCAGTTTCATCATAAATCATATCATTCTTTCAGTGAATTATTTCTTTAAAGAGTCTTGCAGAAGACTGATGGTTTAATACTGATTTTTTGCTATTGGCAGATGGTGTGCTGCTCTTGATTTTTCAGAGAAGTTTTATTTGTGCTTTGTGTTTTCCGGATAGGCAAAAACAGGTTCAGATGTTTCAACATATTTTATCAAATTAGAAATAATCGGTACACCTTTATCAAAAAGCAGTTTGAAGTACATGAAGATTGAAAGATAATACTTTGGATGGCAGTTTTAAACTGCATAACATTTTCCCATGGTATGCTTGGTTTTCAGATGCCTGTAGATCAGTGTTCACTTCTGTAGATGGTTCCCCTTTAATCAAGAGATTTGCATTGTATCTGTCGATTTGTTCAAACCGTTTCATTCAGATGGAAGTGGGATATTGCATTCAAAATGGAGTGGCCAATTCCGGCTGAAATTAGGGGTTCTATAAACTCAGGTTATGTATTTTTAACTTTCATTATTCAAGTCTTGTTCATATTATCCTTCCTAGACTGATGCGTCTTGTTTTGTTTTCACTTTGTCGTATAATTTATTTGCATTGTTTGTGTAATTAGTTCTGTTGTAATAATTTGACGACACTTTTCATTTGTAAATCAGCATTGGATGATCAATTTCCTATTGAATCAATATAAAGCGAGTCTGGGGAACAAGCAAGTTGCTTGATATCCATTTTTTCCTGAAGAATTTTGGCAGTCTCTGACTGCATAAAATGTACTGGTTTTCTTAATTTTCAGATCAGCTTTTACATGTTGATAGCCATCTGGCAAATGTTGGTCAGCGTTAGATTCTACAAGAGGGTCTGAAGCTATTTTTGTAACGAGAGAAGATAGGAAACTTCATTACAGACCGATGTCACAAATTGGCAGGTTATTTTTAACCATATTTCTAATTACAAATTGATATATGTTCTTAAGGAAAATTTAATTGCCTCTGATTCAAAGAGATGAAACACTTAATATTCAGGTGTCTTGTTTAACTAGGTAATACTTTGAATATTTTTAGTCGTGGAATGGTAGTCATTTGACTGCATTATTGTTGCACTGCTTAATTTTCAGAAAATTTAAGGAATCGTTTTGACATGGATGGAAAGTTCCCCCTGCTTTTGTATGGATACCAATCTATTTTGCAGATATCAAAAACGTAGTGGTGAGCTGAAGTTTTTAGCTACAAATATATATAGAGAAAATTAACTTTACATTAAATTTCTTTATTTCATTCAAAATGTCCAGTTAAAGTGAAAGGTACTTCCGTTATATCCTTTGTGGTTCCTTTTTAGCCTTTTAATGTGTTGGTTGTAGGTTGGCTTGTAATTATGCTTCACTTTCAGACTTGTCAAGTACCCACTTGTTGTTTCTGGAGAGGTTTAATGTACCTGGTTCCATCTCAAAAAACAGCTAAGAAATTGAAGGCTTTATAAGATCAAGGAAGATGGGTAAACATGTATTTACAGGTCAACTCAACATAATTCTGAGCAAGGCAAGGCATGTTTCTGAGGGTTACAGGATTTTCAACGATGTTTTACGTCTGTTTTCTGATTTCAATCGAAAGATATGTTACTTTTGTCCAGATTGTGGATTCCTCTTGCTGGTATTGTATTTGGTTTGGTATTGTAAGTTTCGATGTATCTTTTAAACTTCAAAAGAATATCTGATTGTTGAAAGGATTTGGCCCTGTGCATATTTTTTTGTGTTGTCTAATGGAGCTTACTTTCAGATAACTACGGATCCTGTGGTATGTGTGGAGCAAGTACAGTATATGGGAAGAACACGGCAAATAAGATATATGTGTGTGTAATATATGTTTTGGACTCTAAATTTGGCTGTCAGAAAGTGAGAAAACACTGCCAGTTGGACAGAGCCTCAGGAAAACCTACCTCCCCCTTCCTAAATGGGAGTAGGGTTGGGTAGCCTGCTCGCAACAATATCTGACTTTTTGGCATCAAAAGTATTTTTAACAAAAAAGTAAAATAAAAAATAAAATTCAATTTATATTAAGTATGAATTATTTAAAATGAACAAATTTTAAAATAATGCAATTTGATGTATGTTAAAAGTTTTTTCAGTTCAGGATTTATATAATCACTATAAAGGATGAAATTTTGCAAATATTGGTTTTGTCAAATTATAATTGAAGAGATGTTCATATTAAAATTGTCAAATATGTAATTTAAAACTTCATGATGTAAAAGTGTTTTGAAATATAAGCTGCAAATTCTAATGGAGCAGTTCTGAAAATCGATTAATTTCTAAATAAATCAAAGAATATTGTTTGTAAGAAGAAAGATTTTGGATCTATTGAATAATTGTTTTAATATTTTTGAATGTAAGTGTTGAATTGTAAACTAATTTAAATACAAAAAACAAATTTAAATAGTTAACTATGGAATAATTAATATTCATGTATTTAAAATAGAATAAATTCTAAGCAATAAACCGGTAAACTTTATTCAGTGAGTTTGTCATTTTTTCTGTGTTTACATGATGTAAGCAAATGAATGTATTTACCAACTTTAAGCATGAGCTTTGCTACAAAATTTTGATAAACAATTTTTACCAGAGAGAAACAAAAATGTTAAAGTTGGTGATTACACTTGCTTAATTGTGCGCATCATGATGTTGCATGAACATGATCTTGAAACTGCAACATGGGCGAAACATCTTAATCAACACCCCATGATTTGATGTTGCATAGGGGGAAAAATGGGTTTCTTGCTTTGAGCAGATCCATGTTGCTTCGTCAATAGAAAACAAATGGTGCCACATTCCTATATCGTTCGTGAGAATGAAGAGTCGGCTGGAATTAACCGATATTTTGTTAACTTTGTGCTTGCATACGCGAATTCTTGGAAACAACTTGCGATCATGAAAAATGGGTACTTTTCCTACAGAAATTTCTTACAAAATAGTCTTTGCACAATTGGAGTTTAGCCGTTGCTACTTGGACTGAAAACTGGAGACAAAAATAATTTGTCAACAGTGACCTTGATCATATTCGAGGCAATATGACCTGACATGTGACAATGCTACTAGAACAAAAACCAACAATTCTACACTAATATAAGAAGTATGAATATAAGAGCAATGACATAAAAGTGGACATGTGTACAAATGAAATGCTTGTCACAAGGGTAGAAGAAATTTGGTATATGTTAAAAGAGTAAGGAAGGTTATGCTCTGTATGAGCCAAGGACCACTTTGTATATAGTGGGGTACAAAACTATTTCATTCAGTACACAACACTCGACCTTCAAGAGATGCACAAGTTGATCTACAAAGGACAGACCGAATTCAGGAACTCTGACTTTCCTCCACCTCCAAAACCTGGCACGTCCTTACCATATCCATCTGTTAATCGAACGTAAAAGTCCCAAAACTTTATATGCATATCTAGGGACCGTGGAAAACCTTCATGTGAAATTTGAGAATGATGCCTCCAGTACTTTCAGAGTAATAGCGTTAAAAAGAATTGTTTAAGGGCAGTCGGACCACCGACGATGATGATGATGGTGGACTGAAAAGGAGATAGTATGTTCCCATCAGTCTGTTATTTTGCATGTTTACTTTTGAGACTAACTGGTTAAGCAAAATGGCCTACAGGTGGCCATCTCTGATTTTGACAGCATATTTGTTATTGCTATTTCTCATGAAGGACTGGAGGGATCTTTCTTAAAATTAATATGTAGCTTCCCTTTGTCTTTTTTGTGTTAAAACAATATAGCCGACTGGTGGCCATCTTGTAGCTTTTCCTTGGATATGGATTTGTTTTGTAGATTTAACTTGGTCATTTATAATGCATGTTTACTTTTGTGACTGATGGAATAAACAAAATGGTTGACAGGTGGCCATCTTGGATTTGACAGTTAAAGCTTGTTATTGCTTATTCTCGGAAAGTACTTGGAAGGATCTTAAAATATTTTAACATTGTTTTATTTTCAGGAAATATTAACTGTTTTCATGTATCAAACTTTTCTCATATCTGCATAGGTTACAAATACAAATCAACATTGTAAAAGTTGTTTAATTTTATTGGGTTCAACAATAACAAAGATCTGACATCATACAGCACGATATATTAAGAGTTCAGTTTTGCAACTCACTAGATAATTTTCTGTGAAAATCCAATCATCCAGAGGCCCCTCTCATGATGTAGTCCTAAAAAAAAAAAAATGCTTTTTATAATCTGGTATTTAAGTTTAATTCATTTTACATTAGGGTTAAAATAGCATGTACTAACAAAAAATACCAACTTAAAAAAACCCCAATTAGAGCCTATAATTCATAACCATACAAAAACACTGGCAGAACAATCTAGGCCAATTCTATGCCATGAAGCATTCATTTAAAATCCTTCTGAAAGACAAAGGACATAGGATGAGGTAGCAGTATACAGTAGAGGGTTGTGGCCATGGGTGATATTTTTTTTAAATGGCTAATCCCTGTATAATGATATGTAAAAAAAACATCAGAATAAAACTAAAATCGGTATTTAAGCATGATGAAGTGGGCTATGTGAGCTTCACATTTGTAAAAAAAAAAAGATTTTTCTGGATGGGGTATAAAATTTTGGCCATAATCTGAAAGGGTTATGCAAAGCTAGTTTCACAGGAGGTAAAATTTTGACAACATAAAGTTTTACATCTTTACTGGGACCCAGATAATTCTGCAACCAGGTAGGTAATCTTTAATTTCAGACAGAACTTAGGAAAAAAAATACTAGTTGTGGGGGGTCAAATTTTGGCATTTTTTGGTAATTTTTGATGTGGTAACCATGGTTTTCACACAAGTGACATACATAGAAAAATAGGTTTATACACTTTTCAGTACTTTATATGTATTGTAATTGTAATGCAGTTTACAAATATATATACATGTGTTGTGTAGGGTAAATCCGCTGTGGTAACATTCCTTGACATGTGCCTTGTTTATCAGAGTCGTGCCATTTCTACTGTATACTGCTACCTGAGTAAAAATTTGGCCAAAGAAATGTAATGACTTTGAAATCTCAATACACCATGTAGCATTAATTGGAGTCAGGGGCCTTGTGTTGCTGTCCTTAAAAAAGTTATTTAAGCAATGATATTCGCAACTTTGCACACCAAAACACTAATGGATATCCTGGCAGCATGATTTTTAGTTTGCTATGATTTTTAATTCGCCTGGATAAAATCTACTAGGCCGATCCTGACTAGTAGCGTTTTTTAAAAGAAAAGTTAACGGATGTCTTTCCTTTAAAACGCTACAAGTCCGGAACAGCCTAGTAGATTTTATCTAAATTTGGTCTGGAGCATCCTTGGGCCAAGGGGACTCAATTTTGTACAAGAGGCCCAGAGGGCCTGTATCGCTCACCTGGATACCTAAGCAATCATGGCAAACTATTCTCCAAATGAGATCAAGGGAATATGCCAGACCCCAAGGCCAATCCTTGTAGCAAAGCTATATTAGATTTTTC